AAGCTAGGCGGCTGAGAAGCCTTCTGCCTTTGCAAGCCCCGGACGGAAACTCGGCGCTTTTTATTCTTGCAATCGGAAGCGTCTCGTTTTCTTTTCCAGACACCCGGGACCGGGGGGGGGGGGGGGGGGGGGGGAGCAGGGAGAAGTAAAGATCGGTGTAGTCTAAAATGGGAGAAGAGAGTGGAAGTTGAATCGGTGGACCCCGGGGGAGCTGAAGCCCAAAGTTTTGATTTGTTCCATTTTCTGGCGATAACTCCTGCCGGTGCCTTTGAAATTTGCCAGGTCCATTTCTTTCCCCGCGCTTCATACTTTCCTAGTTACTCCATTCCTCAGCTTCAAGCGCCTTGATTTTTTTCCCCCTGCGTAGAATTGCTTTAATTTTTTTTAGGGGGAAATGGGAGGCGGGGGGGGGGGAGACAGAGACGGAAATCTAGTGTTAAAGAAGCGAAGGGGAAAGGTGGCAAAATCAACCTTGGATAAATCGGAGCGGCTTCCATTTCTTGGGCTGGCCTCGCGGGGAAGGGGTCGGCGCGGTTTCCGCTCGGAGCAGCAGAAGTTCGCCCGGGATCGCGAGCGGGAAGAGGGCCGAGGTGGATGCTGAGGGTCAGAGGCGAGGGGGATGCGCTTGGTAACCCTGAGGTTTGCGGGGGGAAGTGGGGCGGAAAGTGAAGGGGAGGGAGGAACGGGCTGCTCGCTTCTGGCGGGGCTCATCTGGAAGGAAACCCGCGTAGAGGGTGAGAACAGCGGGAAGGGTTTTCCTTAGCGTTGGGCGGGTGCGGAGAGTCACGCTCCATCCTACCCTAGCAATCCAGAGAGACTCCGCTCTGCTTTCCCAGGGCTTGAGCCTTTCTGTCCGCGGCGGTCAAGCGATGCCCCCCTCCGCAGCCAGCCCCCCTCCCGATTTACCTCCTTCCCATCAACCTCGCTCTCCTTTCCCAAAAAGAAAAAGTGTGCCACATCCTGGCAAGGCGGGTTCCCGCGCGCGCACGGCTGTGAGAAACGAAGCGTGGGATTTGTCGTCTCCATACCTCCTTCCCCCCCCCCCC